TGGATTGCACCTCCTCTCTCCATGGCTTGTGGAAGAAATGTGTGAAGGGATGCAGCTCTGTGTGTCGTTTGAAATGAATGGACCTTGTGTGGTCACAGACCCTCAGGAGGGCTGGATGGAGGCAGCCGTGAGGGAGGCAAGGCAGCCTGCTGGGGTGCTGTAGCTCTTCTCTAGCACACAGCCCACAGGGTTTGCCTCACATTCCCCAATGCTGATGAGGAAGAAGATGCTGCTCCCTCAGCATATCATATTACTCTCCTGCTTCAACTCCCTGTCATTTCCTGACCCCTGTCAGCTCCACCTGCCTTCCACTCCAGCAGGTTATACATGCAGACCATGAGGTCCACTCCTTCATGGGAGGAGTGCAAGAAAGTGTGCAAAAGGGGAACAACATATGTAGAAATTACTTCAGTGGGGAAGGTCCCCCACAGTCAGCTCAGTGCCTTCTGAGACTGCTGTGACAGTGAAATCTTGAGAGAGGAGGCCTTTCACCAAAGGGGGATGTGTGATTATAGACAAAAGCAGGCACTGACTTTGAGAGGGTGCTGCAGGCTGGAGCCATCCAGCTTCACTATGCAGAAATGACACCATCAAGAGGAGACCATCACACAGCAGCAATTAAACTCAAGGAGATGCATACTAGATGCCCTCAAACCAGGAGGCACTTCTAGAAATTGTTTTGGGGCTGACTTAGAAACTGGAAATACTACTACTACTACTACCACTACTATTACTACTACTAATAATAATAATGATAATAATATGTTGTTGTTGTTGTTGTTGTCTTTCCTCATTAAAGACTGAATGGGCTTTATCAGCACTAAAATATGTGCAGACCTTCCATCCAAGACAATATTAAGCAAGACTATTTACTTATTATATTACTGTTAACTCTGTAACTGGTTATGTCACCAGAAGTCACATGGCAGTCTTAGATTTATTTTCTTCCTCCAGACAGCTAATGTGGAGTGTGCTTCTCTTTAGAACTGATTTTCTCTTCTAATTCTGACTACCCAAACAGTCATTCTGTATCCTTCAGTCTCCAGTCTCCTGGTCTTTGCAGGGGCAGATCCTATAGGGAATTCTAATGCTCATGGTATTGCAAGAAAGAGTCCTCTGCCTCTCAAGGAATCTTGGAAATCAAGGAAAACCCTTTGGCCTGGACAGCAAAAGCACCATTGATTCTTCTGGTGCTGAACAGAGATGTCCTCTTGAGGTTGGTGGCAACATCCACAGTGGTGGCTGGGTATTTCATTTGAGGAAGCACAGCCTCTAGGGGATGAAGGACAGCCCATCTTCTACAAGAAGATCTGATAGTGTGAACTTCATTGGGTAAGACTACATAAAACTGTGGATTCCTTACACTCCCCTTCAACTGAAGACTTTTCCCAAATACTGTTTTTCAACAACAAGCCCAAGAGTATGCAGTGGCACCATCCCTGAGGGCCAGCTGGTTTGGTGGTACACGCCAAGGGAACTGTTTTCAGCAGAGCCAGTTCATCTGAAGAAACAGCCCCCCAGCAGCACGGATCAAAATTGCCCCACACAAGTGACCCGAGGCTCAAAGTAAGTTTATTTTTCATGCAGTTTGGGACAGACAGTAGTGTGAGTCTGAGTTTGATGAGATGACATCCAACACTCTCATGTGCTGCCCCTTGCTACTAGTGAGAGTGGACCTCAAACAGGTGACATGCAAAATTCACATTAACAGGTGGGATTGGAGAATTAATTTGATCTCCCTAAACAGTACTAGAAATGCCCTCATGATCCCAGTGTATTTGTTGTAACATAGTAAGAACATGATTAGCATTTAATGCTATTTAACAAACATGCTAATTAATTTAGGCAACAGTAATCAGTACCTGCACAGATTAACAAACTTGACCAGTCAGTGGTGTGAAATAACCATGAGGCTATGATATATTAACTCTGCTTTGCATTTTAAGGTTGAATTTGGGCATCCCTTCCTAATACCCTGAAGAAGACTTCTTCCAAAATTGAAGATACATTTGGCTATGACAGGAGTCTCTATTTCTTTATTTTGTATTTGATGCTGAATGGGGGGCAAAAAACTAATCTATTATTTGGGGTGCTGTGAGAACATAACAAATAAAATTAATTTGTGATCTGAAACTTCATAATGTCTTTTTTGGTCAGGTTTATAAATCATCAAGGCTTTGGAAGAAAAAGATTGTCTGTTTGTAAATCCAAATTATTCTGATAAATCCAAAGTAAATAAAGCCAAATATCTACCAGAATAGATACTTTTGGTGACAGTTCCTCTGGACTTGGGGACCCCAGGAATCCTGTAAAGCATCTGCAGAGGTTCCTTGCAACTGCCTCTTGGTCCCCAGTTAAGAACTGGGCCAGCCAGGTACCTGTCAGGGGTGGGGTTTACTCTAACAGGGTGTAGTTCAGCCCGACCCCACATGGTGTTTCAAAGCCTGCCTTCTTTGTTGCACTTCTCCTGTGTCCATAGAGCCTTTGATCACAGCACATCTTCCTCCAGCATCTTCTTTCCGCAAACTCTCATTCTTAAGGTCAAACGTTTGCCAGCAACAGCTCCCACACAGCAGCCCTGAGCACAAACTCAGGCTGGGTGGGGAATGGCTCAGGAGGAGCCCTGGGAAGGACCTGGGGCCATTGGTGGACGAGGAGCTCAACATGAGCCAGCAATGAGCACTCACAGCCCTGAATGCCAGCTGCATCCTGGGCTGCACCCAAAGCAGTGCGCCAGCAGCGCGAGGCAGGTGATCCTCCCCTCTGCTCCAGTTTGGTGGGACCCCACATGAGGTGTTGCATCCAGCACAAGGATGATGTGAGCCTGCTGGAGCGAGGCAGGGAGGGCCATGAAGGTGATCTGAGGGCAGGAGCACCCCTCCCTCCTATGAAGACAGAGTGCTGGGGCTGCTCATCATGGGGAAAAAAGGCTCCTGGGAGATCTTATAGCAGCCTTCCAGTATCTAAATGGGGCTACAAGAGAACTGGAAAGGGACTTTTTACAAGGGCTTGTAGTGACAGGACAAGGGGTAATGGCGTTTAAATGAAAAAGAGTAGGTTTGTGTCGCCCTGTTCTTATAAGTTCTTCTAAGCCTTTTCTGTTGTTTACATTTTTGTAATGGAGTTTCTCATGCACACTTTCATGTAAATAATGATTGTTTTGCATTCTTTTCTGGAGGAAGAGAAAATTGTTGGACCAGTGTCATTGGACTGTTGGTTTGACCAGTGTCATTGGAGAGGTAGCAATTTCATTCTCCAGTCCAGGGTCACTTTTCAAATTCTGTATATATCAAGGCTGAAAATAAACTGCCCTTCTTTTTTTACCTTGGAGGTTCCAGCGTGTGTCATTTTATTTTGTGTCCAGTTGTGACAGGTTTGGATTAGATATTAGGAAGAAATCCTTTACTGTGAGGGCGCTGAGGTGCTGGGACAGGTTTGCTCAGAGATGTTGTGGATGCCCGATTCATGGAAGCATTAAAGGTGACACTGGATGGCACTTGAAGCAACTTGTTTGAGTAGAAGGTGTCTCTGCCCATTGCAGGGGTTTCAAACGATTTTTAAGGTCCCTCCTAACCCAAACCATTCTATGATTCTGTGATTCTATGTGATTTGGCATTATGACTTGAATAAATGAATAGTTACTGAAGGAGGCTTCCAAGCGCAGAAGCTTTGCAGCTTCTCCTGAGCCCCTCTGAGGTAGTGCAGGGCAGGAGCAGCGCAGGGTGCGTGTTGTGCTCAAGCTGCCCTCCCTCCTCCCCTATCGCCAGCACATGGCCCATCACTGGGACGCTGGTGGAAATTTCAGGCTGGTAATTGTAATGAGATTTACTCAATCCTGCTGTCTCTTTTGCCCTGTATCACAGGGCATCTCCCAGGATGTACTGTATCTTGAAAACTTGCTTGGCAAAGAGTGACAGCAGCTGTACTGGGGCAGGTCTCAGCAGAAGGGAGCCGCATAAACGACTTGCTAATGACCTTTGATTCACTACCAATGTGTAGCAAGCAAATATTCAAACCCATGCCATTCAGAAGTGAAACACAGCTTTAGCAAGGAGCACTCAGGCAAGGAGTGCTGCTATGATAGCCCTGGGCTGTGCCCAAGAAGGGGCAAGCAGCCCCCTTCCCCTCCTGTTCCACTCCAGCAGAGCAGCCCACCGTGCCCACACCAGGGAAGGGGCAGATGCTCAGACCCCAACAAGTCAAGTGGCTGCTGTACCAAGGAAAGAAGGAGTTTTAAAGCTGTTTCGAGCCCAAAGACAAAATAACTGTGGCCATTCCTCCTGCCCACATTGCCTGTGACCTCATACAGGCAGAGGCTGTGTGACAGGGAGGCCACCTCTGGATTTGGGTGCCTGCTGTGTGACCAGAGCCCCAGGGCTGGACCCAGCTGCAGGTCTCCTACTGGCAGCCGCATACTGACGAGTCTTCAAGAAATCTATTGGTGTTAGTCAGGTGCAGCAACAGGCCAAGAGGGTATTTATCCCTCAGAGTGGGGCCGAATTAGCTCTTTTGGTCAGTTTATAATTAGGTACCTGCATTTAACAGTATTCTTTCTGTTGGATTTTTATAGTTTTGTCTTTTCTTTTTTAAACATGAAAATAATCAGTCTTAAAATAAAATAATTTATTAAAAAAATACCCTGGGAAGTGATCTATAAAAAGAGAAAATCCTTGCCAAGGGAATGCCACAGCAGCGAGCCCAAGCCACAGAAAGCCCGGTTGAAGGCTTCGCTTTGCCGCAGCTTCTCAGAGGTTACCCAGGGTCTGTAAGCAAACAGCTTAAAGGAGCCCGGCTTAGTGCCTGGGTCTCGGGCTGTCCCGGAGCCTCCCGGCCCAATGCCCTGGCAGCAGCCCCTCCCTCCCTCGCTCCTGCCCGAGGCGATGCTGGGCAAACAGGGCCAGGCCTCGCCCTGTGCTCCCGCCGCGGGGCCGGGCCGCGCTGGGCTCGGGGGCATCGCAGGAGAGGCCGTGCCACGGCAGGCGGGCGCAGAGCCATGTGCATATAAAGCCCGGGGCAGCAGCCCGGCAGGCTTGTTCAGCACAACCACACCTCGGCTCACCTGGCAGCACGGCCAGGCGCTGATCCCCGGAGTACCCGAGCGTGGGAGCGATCTGCCCATGGGCCCCCGCCGGCTGCTGCTTCTGGCGCTGCTTCAGGCAGGTGAGTAGCACCCCTCGGTCCCTCTGCCTTGCCGTGTCGCCCCTGCCCGGCCACGGCCTCTCCCTGCGCCATCAGCTTTGCCTGCTCCGTGCCAGGACCGCCGTGTGATGCGGCCAAGTGAGGGAAAAAAGTGTCACTAGACAATCCTCAGCTTTACAGTGAGGGACAGTGTAAGTGAGCTGCCTGCCTGCCTGACTTCCCAGCCCCAGCTATGGTTTGTATAACCTGTGTAAACACAGGTCCTCTTCTTTTTTAGTAGTTTTCTGCTACAGAGTTGTTAGTGTCCGTGTTCCATTGAAGTACCTTCCTTTTATACCAGTGTCCATGGAGTGAGCAGTTTTCAACACATCTGAATTTAAAATAGTTTTTTAAAATTCTGTTTATAAAAGCCATAAATGGCCACTAACATAAAGTCCCTACAGACAAAGGCAACAAAACTCTAAACTGGCACATCTGAGGTTATACCTGCAGTAGAGTTTTAAAAGAAAAAAAACAACCTCCTACCTCCATTTACAGCAAAGGCTGCCAGTTTAAGCAGGAAATAGTGCTAAGTTGTCAGATTCACCTCTGCTCACCTCTCTGCAGGTATGTTCTTCTCTAAGGTGGTCCATTAGTAGTTTAACTAATGATTGGACATGCTGCTAACAGGACATTTGGCTAGGAGCAGGCTGCTGTGGAGACTCAGACTTTTTTAAGGCTTTCCTGGCTGTGTTGGCTCAGCTGCCTAGCATAGAGAAAGCAATTTCAGTTCTTGGTCAAGTTATTAGCTCTGCACCTGAATATTAAAAATGTACTTGCTAGGGCTGACCTCTCAGCTGCAGCAGCGCACTGCTGGCTCAAAACCCAGACAGCTTTCAAAGAACAGGAACATCAGAGGCTGCCTGGACGCCTCTTGCAGAACACACAGCCCTAAGCACACTAATTGAGTCTTTTGGACTCAATTTCCTTTGTGGCGCTCCCTCCACTTTCATAGCAACTCTGCACTGTAATTACAGTTCCTTGATCTCCAGAGATATCCCCAAAAGAAGAATGGCCTTTCTTCTTCTGGGTGAGGTAAAGTTACCTTACACAAGCCTCAACCATTTTCAGCCAGTGGCCAACAGGCTAAACCCAGCAGTGCTGGCTTAAGAGGCCAGTGAAAGAGCTAAAAAAGAAGTCAAGCCATTTGTCAGAAGGCTGGGATTCCTACAAAGACGTTTTTGTCTCCACTATAATATTTTCAGGGTCAGCAAACTGGAACAGGTTGAAAAAATCATGATTTATACCCCCAAATCCAAAGCAGCTCAGTACTTGTGTTTTCCCCTGAGAGCTAAGCCCCCTTCTAACTCTGGAGCCTTGCTGTTTAGACAAGGAAAATAAGTGGTCTCTTTAGTTCTCATTAAAACCCATCCAATGCGTTTTTAGCACGAAACCTGAACACTCAAGCAGTGTTTAGCTGAGTGCGCTTGCTTTTTCAGGAATGTGCATTTAATCCCTGAGGAATGCCCCAGGGAGCAGACTGAGGCTATGCTGGACAGCCTGAGGTGTGGATCCCTGGGGTGAAAATGGTGGCACCCTCTCCTGCTGGGGGGTTGGGCTGGGAGAGGGAGCAAAGCCCTGCCTTGTCCTTCGTGGGGAGAGAACCTCCTTGTCTTCCCTGGCATTTGGATTGGGCTCAGAGGGCAAGCTAGCCCAGGAGATGTGGGAAGAGGCCCAAGCAGGGGGATTAGAGGCTAGGTTTTAAAAGGAAAGCAACTGTTTTAATAATAGTATTGAGTCCTTGGGTGGTTTAGAGGATTAATTAGCCCGTGTTTGCACAACACTTTGAAGAGGTCAAGCATGCTGCAATAGCCAGGGGCAGGTGGCAAAGCAACTTCAGTGGCCAGTTCCCAGAAGCCACCTCCCTCTCCATCCAAGCATGCTGGAAAGCCCCTGTTTGATTTTGGAGTGGCTGTGCACGGGTGGGATGAGCAGATGGGTCAGGCTTTTGGGCTGAGGATTTTGATCGTACCAATAGAGCAGTGCAAAGTGCATTTGGTCCCTCAGTAAATCCAGGCAATAAATGCTCCTGTTTGTCTCTACAGCAGGATAAGAGCTGCGTTTGTGACTGAGCATCATAGCGGTTTGAGTATTAGGGGCAAGATACTCCTGGTTTCCATAACAGCTACTGCAAGAATGAGCCTGTGGCTTCTAAAAAAGTTCCAAATTAACATGAGAAATCACGATACTGATCAAAAGACTTGTAACTCAAAAATCTCCAGACTGGTTTGGGTGGCCATCCACACACTCCAGCTGACACAGAGCTCCATTCTCCTTTTTTCCCAAAATTAATGGGGCCCACCTGTTACGACTTAGGTGGAACATAATAACGGAAGCAGATATAAGTGTTGCCAGCACTTCCAGAGTCCCAGGAGAAAGCGGCTGTACAGGCCTCTTGGCTAATGGAGGCACTTTGTCCTTGACAAAGTATGTACTCTGCAGGCTCAGGGGCATGTAGCTGTCCCTCTATGCAGATTAATAGGATTATCAGTATGTTTTGCCACCTGGAAAATGGGTTAAAAGATCCTGAATAATAGAGAAACTGGGATAATGTAAGAAATCTTGAGCAACATAGAAACTTCATTTCTTTCCACAGAGTCCTGGTTAGGTCTGGTTGCCTGGCTGTACTCTGCTGCTTCATGTCCCATCAGGACCATAGCATAGCTGGAAAACTGTCCCAGGTTTGGGAGCTCTGGGGTGCAGGGAAGCACAGGGGGCCTCCCTGATGCTGGCACAGACCCTGCAGAGCTTGTCAGCTTGGGCTCCGTCATGAGCACAACCATGCACACTGCTCCTGGGTGCAACACAGCTGCAATCACACACTAGCACACCAGAACTAGTAAGTCCTGCTTGAAATGAGCTCCTGTGGAAGAAGTAGCATGCTTGGGCATTCCTGCATCCAACTTTTGATTATCCCAGACACAGGCAAAGCTCCCTGCAAGACTACCTTTGGCCAGCTGAATGTCATGACTAGTTAGATTATCAGGGCTGCACCCAACCAACCAGTCAAAATCAAAACCATCTCCCTTTAAGGACTGTAGGAAAATCAGTAGGAGGATGTTTAATCCTGTGTGTAACCATGTCCTGTCTTTGCAGTTTGGAAAGGCACCCTGGGAAAGTCCCATTCACTGCACACTCGAGGAATCATTGAACTGGCTGGAGCCATAACGTGTGGCACTGGACGGTCTCCCTTGGCATATATTGGCTATGGGTGCTACTGTGGACTGGGAGGACGAGGCTGGCCTAAAGATAAAACAGACTGGTAAGAGAAACCTTGGCTACATGTCCAGAAGCAGTGCAGATCTCCCTGCTTTTCTCTTTTGTGCTGCTGTGACTCCACTGACTCATTTGGTGCCTTGTGGGCAGGGAACTTAGTATATATGAACATACTGGGGATTTGTGAGTGATGACCCATGTATCACTTGGGATTTGAATGAGGGCTTAACCTCCTTCTGGATGACACCAAAGCTCTTAGGACCTTGTAATATGTGGGGTAGAGGGCAAAGGAGAAACCAGGATGTAATTTTTTGAAATAGCTGTTTGTTTTTTCATAGAGAGCACACCCTGCCTGACGAAAGGAGTGCAGTCCAAGGTATTTGGAGGGTTATTTCACCTAAATCCTTAAAATGGAAGTGATGGAAATATCACTGTTTATCCTCTTGAAGAAATCCATATAGTTGCAAGGAGTAATCAAACCTGTTGCCCTAATTGGCTGTTAGTTCCCACTGAATCAAGGCAGAACAATAAGGGAGAGCATGGTGTTATTTCCCCTTTTCCTTGTTAGTGGGGAAGATGTTGGCCTTGTTACTCCCCACAAGTGTCGGAAGTATTGCATGCAATCAATGGCTTCTTTCCCGTACTGTGCAATGAGCACAAGAGAGTAAATGAGAATAAAGCTGAGGATAGTGGACTCTTGTTGCTCCGAGCCTGGTATTTGCAATCTTGCCAGGTTTGAAATATCAAAGTCGGTCTATCTACAGTCTCCAGCTCAGGTGCCTACTACTAGTAAGCAAGCTCTGCTTTTAGCAGGGGTGAAGGCAGTCTGCAGCTCACTGGGAAGGAAACTGAGCTTTCCAGAATACCTTGATGCTGGAGACATTGCAGGTTGCTACAAAACCAGATTTTGCTGAATTAGAATGACAGAAAAAAGGGGCAGGGGGGAGTGAAGGAAGAAAAGGTGTCAAAGCTAAAGATCTCTGTGGGCATGAACGAGAAGACTAATGGAGCTGTCTTCATTAATGCAGTGAGATGTTTCACCCCCAAAGCCCTCTCATCATGTCCCTTTATTTGTCTGTGAAATATTTCATCTATGAAACAGTCAATATGGGCCTCACAAACAATGAGTAACTGCAGTAATATCTCCTGACCTCCTTATCACAGCACTTATCTACAGCAGTGTATGTAGGGTGTTTAATTATTTTTGTTATCCTTTAACAAATTTAATAATAAAGCCTTGAAAGTAAAACATGACTTCACTAATTTGGAGCACTGCTTTTGTTGAAGGGCTGAGCAGAGTGACTTAAAAGTTGTTTTCCATAGAGACTGAGTGACATCCAAATTTATGTGACCCTGGGAGATGCAAGTAGTCATCACTCCTGAAAAAGAAGGAGTAAAAGATGGCCACATGTTCACCAGCCAGTGTTTCTGCTGTTGTTTAAATTGCATGGAGTATTTTAGGATTTTATCCTAAAGGCAGAAAATGAGACTTTGCAAGTGGAAATGCCTCAAAATATCAAATAGTTTGTGAAAGGGAAGCTTGATCCTCTAAGTACATTCATTGTTATTCTTTAGCTGCAATGCTTGGCTGCCGTAGAAAAACCTAAAAGTTTTATTTAGGTTCTTAGCTAGGAAGAATCAGCAATGCCACACCAGATTTAGGCCTAAAAAAGTCCATTTTCTGTTTGCTAGAGAAATATTGATATCTGTTGCTAAGAACTACTGCAACGATTAGAGTGGTTGAGTACCCCACACCTGTCAAAGTGACCACATTATTTTCCCTATTTGCCATTCTAAAAAAGAAAGGGTGGCAAAACTACTGGCTGTGAGTGACAAATACTGTTTGAAAATTATTCACCTCCTTGACCTTCTAGGTTTTTTACGCAGACCCTTACAAAAGGAGTAATTTTCTTCTGTGTAATTCAGTCAATCTGTCTAGAAAGGGCTAGAGTGCTTCTAAGCACTTCTCTTTTATGTGAAAAAGAAAAAAAAAAGCCATTGAGTGGGTAATCCCTTTATAAAGTTTATTCCACATACTGACTTTGATGTGGTGTTGTCACAAATTACCTTTTCCCTTTTGTTCCACTCTTCCACTCTCACAGTTCCATCACTTCAAGGCATAATGACGTTTCTTCCACATGGACTCAATCGATTTGTTTCTCCTTTCTGTTCCCCTGGATTGCTGCAGCTGTAAAGTAGGACCTAAGGGTGCTCAGCACTTCCCTGAAAACACCACGAAAGGCAGGGTGCATCCGTGACTCATCTAAGTCACAGGATCCTTAAGGCTGGAAAAGATCTCTGTGATCATTGCATCCAACTGTTAAATCCTGGCCAACTGGTAGGGAAGAGTAAGATCTCTCCTCTGTCGCAAGGTTAAAGCAAAAGACACACAGCAGTGAGGGTGCTGTTGATGTGACAAACACAACGTGACAAATTCCTACCTCATTGGCATTTGCTCAACAGCAGGGCTCTGGCCACCTGATCCCTGCGGGCCAGCTGGAGCTGTCGGTAGCCACCAGGGCTGTCTCGTAGCCCAGCCGTGACCAGCAGGTTGTTGAGTACCCAGGTGGCACAGTTGTGTTTGTTTGCCATCGCTGATGATGACCAGTGCTGGTGGCTGCCTCTGTTTGTGTTGCTGTAACCGAATGTTAGCAGGTCATTAAAAGCTTAGCACCACTCTGATCCAGGTGCAGCAAAGGGCATTTCCAGACCGGAGGGGACTATCTGAAGGTGGCAAAGGACAACAATAGCATTCCTTAGTCTTCATTCCTTGACAGTTTTTTCAGATGTTTGTAAATTAGGAGCTTTGTGTTGGAGTAAGCTACCTGTCACCCTGCTGCAGCTGTGGGGATCATCAGGAGGAATGCTGTAAGGGGAAGCAGAATTATGTCCCAGATCCTGTGGTTCTGCAGAGTTTATGTGACTTCCTCTAGATTTGCCAAGCCAGATAAGGAGCAGCGAGTTTTCACTGCTAGCTAGAACACCATTTGCTAGTGCAAATTCAGTGCTCATTTGCTTGTCCTTGCCTGATTCACAGAAAATCTTTTGCCCCCTACAGTATCTGTCCTCACTTCTCCTACCTCTCTTTCTCTTTGTTCCTTACGGCTCTTCATAAAGCGCAATTTCTTTCCCTTGGCACACAGGGCCCTAACACCTCCCTCTGCTCATCTATCTTCACACTGTTCCTCTTCCCCATACTCCCCCATCGCTGACTCATCAATTTGGCTCCTGACTCACGACCCAGACCTCAGAGACCTTTGGTTTCTGTAGCTGGCACTCCCCTCCACCACAGCCTCCGGTGCTCAGTGTCCCATATATGAGACACTAGAGATGGGCCTGCTCTGCTACCTGTAATTCCCCTGAGGATGGATTAGGCTTTGCTGCAGCTTCAGGGTTTTTATATTAAATCAGCCTGCCTCAATTTTTCCCAGTTAGTAGAGTGGTTTCTCTGTAGAGTCAGTTCTTGCAGGGATGTCTTCTGGAAATACAGGAGATCACTGTTCTCTGGCTCCAGCCTCTGACCTTGCCTCCTTGCTGAAACAACCTTTGTTATTCAGCAGAGAACATCTCTAAGTGCTGAATCTTTTCTTGGTGGAATTTGAATCCCTAAATTACAAGAATAAGATTCAAGTGAGATCAAGTTTTCCATAAATTCAGAAGTAATTGACAGTGAGAATGATCTCATTGACTAGTCCATAGGACAGATGTCATCAGCTGAGCTGTTCCTCCTCATTCCCTCTCTGGTCAGTGAAACACAACTGCACTTTTCAAATCTGATGCTTTTAACCCTGTGTTACATCTCTGCAGCACGAAAAAGTGAACTGTGGTGCAGATGTGCATAGAGAGAAGATAGGTGAATGCCTTAGATGTAGATGGTTTTTAAAGTTCTTAAGTTAACTCATGAATTTCACCATGGAGACTAATTAATTTGTTGCCTGCCCTCAGAACCTTTATGTGCCAAGGAGCACATGGCAGGTGAACTGAAGAGACTAAGTTTCTTGGTGATACTAAGGAAGGCAAGAAACATTCCAATTTCAAGTTTTGGGATGGGTCTAAGCCTAAGCCAGTGAGCCACAATAGCACAATTTATGGGAACACTTCTGCTCCTTTTCAGCCAGGTTACCATGTCTTGCTTTCACAATGCAATGTTGCTCTCACACATGCTTTCATGAGGGCAAAAGCTCAGAGGACGAAGCACAATGGTCATGGGAGCAAATATGGCATTAATGAGCTCCTGAGACAAGCGAGCTTTCCCAGAGATGCCAGGATACTTGCATCATCTTCAGATGATTTACTGACAGGCCATTGCTGTCATGAGCTGTGTGTAGCAAAGCTCTCCTGAAGCCTGTGCCAACAGGCAGGATGCACTAGGACACCCATTCTCTCTCTTTCTGTGTCTCCCAGGTGCTGCCACAGGCATGACTGCTGCTATGACACGGCAGAGAAGGAAGGCTGCAACCCCAAGGTGCAGCGCTACCAGTGGGCGTGTGAGCAGAACACCGTGCGGTGCGGTAAGGAAGGGCTGGCTCCTGTCCTGGGCTCCCTCCCTCCCTCGCTCCTCTGCAGGCAGCAGGCTGACCACAGAGCTTTGGAGGCCCCAGAGGCAGGTTTGTGCTTGCCAAGCTGGTTTCAAAGCTGCTTTAGGCAATGTCCATTCTCTTCCAAGCTCCCTGCCCGCTCCTTGCCAGGAGCTGGGAGGAAAGCTGAGCCCCAGCACAGCCCATTCCAGGTAACCTGAGATCCACCCAGGCTGAGGAGCAGGACTGGGGGCCATGGAGCCCCCAAACCACCTTAGTTTGACAGGGATGCAGATGACTCTCGGGAGACTTTGTGATCACTGGCATTAAGCGTGCCTCTTCCTACAGCTGTGGGTCTTCAGGGATGCTCTTTCCATTGCGGTTCTGGCCCTCCTTCCAGCAGGGCTGTCCACTTTTTACTACCCTTAAGCACTGCTAGAGAAGAGCCAGGCTATTTAGCATGGCTGCAAGATAGGTTAAATAGGATGCCAGCCTGCACCTCTGCCCCGTTTGGGGCTCCAGCCTGAAGTCTTGGGGTTCCAGCAGGGATTTGGAACCATGCAGAATCAAATGCCCTCGAGTGCTTCAGGCAGACAGCAAGTGTGGGCTGTGCTCAGCTCTACAGCTGGTATCCAGTCAAGAGGGTTTGAATTGCACAGTCACAGCCCGTCAGTGTCTCACACAGTTTGTTTTGACATACACCAGATGACTTGAGTCTTAGAATTTGTCACTTGTGCTTCTAAGTCTCCAGAAAGCTCCTGGTAGTAAAATCCATTGTAGGAGACTTTGAAAGTTTGAAAAGAAATCGTGAGAGTAAAACTTATCCCCATAATCATCAAAGTTACTTGCTGGAACATTAAAAGACTATTTCTACCTTGTCAGAAAACCATATTTTACTGGTGCAATCCTCAGCTTCACCAGCAGCTGAAGATCTGCCAGCAGATAGGGGATAGGACACAGCACATCTGCAGTTGCTCTTTTCCTAGTTCCAGAACAATCTAGTAAATACAAAGTCCTGGCAAAGGAATGTGTCGCTTTAATGTACAACTGCTCTCCCTCCTGCCATATTTCCATAGCTGACTGATATTTTCTGCTAGTCATTTTACAGGGGAAAAGTCCTGTTTCTCTTTGCTGTGAAGGAACAAACCAAGTTGCAGATATGAGATGTATCATTCAGTCCCTGGCAGTGGACTGCAGCAGACTGCAGTTGCTCTGACTTGGCCAACAAGCATGAGTTAAACAAATGTCATTAATTCCTTAACTGATGTCCAGGCAAGACCTGGACATCAACTGTTCTCCACAAGCCCTCAGCAGGCTACACTCCCCCTGATATCCCTGGTGAGAAGGAACAATAGAAATGTGTTTTAAAGGCAAATTTCCTACCCCAGGCTACAGCACTGGCAGGTCTTACTGGGATGTGAAGGTATAATGTCTGATCCCATTCAAACAAAAGAGATGAAGAATTAAATTTCCAGGCATGCTTGCTGAGCTCAGGGTAATGATGTCCAGAAGTGTTAGAAGCAGAACTGTTTGCACTGTCATTTCAATGCAACAGGAATTAGATGCCTGCTGCCTGACACTGTACCATAAATACAGACATTTTCATGTAAAATAACCAGAAACTCATTTTAGTTGGTATTTCTCCTCTTTTTGCTACCATTAGGTAATTTTCTTTGTGAAATGAAAAAAACTGGCAAAACTATATTCTTCAGTCTCGATATGCCATCACCTGTAGGCAAATTCCATTCAATAGATATCTGGAATATAGAAAAGGCTATTAGTTGTGGGGTCTGGTAAAAAAAAATCATTCCTCTTGAATGAATGTTACAAATCCAGACTTTTGTTCTCACATTTGATGAACAGTTGCTGGCGCAGCATAGGAAGAGCTCAAGTAGCACAGGGGTAAGGAGAGTATCAGGCAAGACTGGTAGCTAAGAGTGGCCTTAAGTCCTCATTGACCCTTAAAATACTTTCAGCAGTAAATACATGATTATTCCGAACAGCTTAGGAAACTACGGCTTTTCTTATTTTTCTGATACAGGGTTGATCCATCAAAGTCCAATGAAGTCTGGAAAAATTCCTATACTCATTCCAATTGGTTTTGGAGTGAAGCCCATGTGCACTGGCACATTAAACTTTGCCTAGTGCAGGGTTCTGTGGCAGTTAGATAATCCATGGTAGCAGCCTCAAAGAAGCAAGGTACTGTGCTTTAAAATAATATTAACCAAACAACTGCATTTAACCCACCTATAGGAGGGATGAAGTTCATTAACCCAAACTCAGTCATTTGCAATGTAGTCTTCTAAGCTAGTGGCTTTGATGTTATTTATGGCCATGTAGTCATATATTTGCATTCCTGTATAGTTCCATGTATGACTTTGATCACTTTGTTAGCTGCTAGCTCATAAAAATCAGGTACCTGGCCCTGCTGCAAAGCTCCTTGGCTCCTCTGCTGTGATCAGAGAGAGACAGCAGCAGCTGGTACAGCAAGAGAGAAGGATGCCTGGTGGGTGTTCTGACGCCCTCAGGTTTCTGAACATCCCTCTGGGAGGCTCCTTCTTTCAGAGTAGTGGTTTTTCTTTTGAAATCAGTCTGTTTTGCAGAGGGAGGAGTTAGAAGGGAAATTCACTGACTGAGGAACAGTGGAATATTTTTACCTCAGGCTAAGAATAAATAATTTTCCTTTTCCGCTTTGACTACTGAATAAATCCTCCTAGTTCACAAAGTTCTAGAAGCAGGGAGTGCTCTGTGCTGAGCAGATTTTTATAAGCATTGCCAATCTACATTTAGCTGCTAATTTCTGATGCTCTGTGTCACAGTCAAGGTCAGATCTGTTGACAGAGAGGGCAGGGGAGGGTCAAATCCACCCACAACACAACACGTTGATCCTGCTGCCACAGCCTTTGATCCCCAAGGGCTGCTTTTTTCAGGGATTTTCCCCCCTAAAACTGTGTCTTGCCTTTGATACAGAATCTCTCAACCTCAGCTCACATTTTCTTTTGCAGATAACCTGACAGACCGATGTGAAAAAATGGTGTGCTTGTGTGACCAAGAAGCAGCCAAGTGCTGGGGAGCAGCCCCATACAATCCTCACTTCATCCTCTGGCCAGACTTTTTATGTGGACAGACGCATCCCACCTGCCATGTCAGATATGGGGGGCCAGAATAGTCTTTTTAGGACCTTTCTTCAAACAATTTGAACTTGAAGTAGTGGAATAAAAATTTTCCTCGTTTTCCAGATCTAACAATGGTGTGAGAGAATTTCTGTCAGTCCAGGATTTATGGGGAGGAGAGACAGACAGAAAGGTGCGGTGGTGGAGTTCCCTCTCTGTGAGAGAGCACTTGGAGCGTATAGATCTCTGCCTTTGGGTGGACAACAAGCAAGTCAAGATCTCATGGGTAAGGAAAAAAGGGCAGACTAATAGAGGTAACACTGTTGTGGGTGTTTGTTACAGGCCACCTCATGCAGGAGAAAGTGCATGAGGTCTTCTACAGACAGCTGGAAGCAGCCTCACAGTCACAGGCCCTGCTTCTGGTGGGGGACTTTAACTACTCTGACACCTGCTGGAGAAACAACAGGTGACAAAAGTGATTAAGGGTCTGGAGTATCTCTCTTATGAGGAAAGGCTGAGGGAGCTGGGTCTGTTCAGCCTTGAGAAGAGATGACTGAGAGAGGACCTCATCAGTGTCTATGAATAACTGAAGGGAGGGTGTCAGGCTCTGCTCAGTGGTGCCAAGCAATGGAACAAGAAGGCATTGAGTAGAAACTGATGCACAAGAAGTTTTACCTGAACAAGAGGAACAACTTCCTTAATGTGCAGGTGACCAAGCAAACTTCCTTAATGTGCAGGTGACCAAGCACTGGAACAGGTTGCTCAGAGAGGTTGTGGAGTGTCCCTCACTGGAGATATTCCAGACCTGTCTGGACACAACTGTGTGCCATGTGCTCTGGGATGACCCTGCCTGAGCAGTGACGTTGGACCAGATGATCCACTGTGCCCCTTTCAACCTACCCAGCCTGTGATTCTGTGACAGGTAACATATATGATGAAGCAAAGGGAAGATTCTGCTCTGATCATGCTTTTGCAGAAACAGAGGTTTGGTCTGTGGTGCAGTGGGAATACATCTCCTGTCACCAAATAGCACTTTGTTTTTTTTAATCACAGACTCATAGGGTAGTTTGGGTTGGAAGGAGCCTTTAAAGATCATTTAGTTTCAATCTCTGTGCAATGAGCAGGGACACCTTTTACCAGACCAGATTGCTTAGAACCCAGTTGTCTTATCCCTTATGCTCCTGGATCACAGCACTGGAGACACTTCTGAGCTGTGTTCAAGGGTAAGCAGAGTTACACTGGGCTATTGCAGTTGCAAGGTCAGCAAGCATTTCTGACTTCTGCTTACCAGAGGCATACCCACACTTTGCAAAAGAATATACTCACTGCTCCACAGGCCTCAGAGCTGATACACTGCTCTCTGATACCTGTAGAAGAGGGTCTCCTATAGTAGCAGCATCAGACACGATGCAGGAATGATGTGCATTGACACCATGATTGTAGGAGGCTGAACAAATGCTTTATTGAGCTACACTACACTATACTATACTATGGAAAAACCCATCACCTTTGCCAGACAGTCCGATATGCACATGGATCCAATTGGTCAATCAATCAAAACACCATCACCAGAGTCCAATTAGGAAATCACTCTTTTGGTAAACAATCTCCATAACACATTCCACATGTGCACAATCACAGGAGCAGCAAGTGAAGATAAGAATTGTTTTCTCTGAGCTTTCTCACGGCTTCTCAGGAAAATCCTGGGAGAGAATTAAGTCTCTGTTCAGAAGATATGTGATTACCACAGTCTCTTATATTGGCATGTCCCCCAGTCACTGACTGCCTGGGAATCAATTATTGTCACATCAGGAAACAGAGGCCGTGGAGAACATCAGTCATGTCAAGCAAATCTTTCATCTCTCCTCTTTTTTTTTTTTTAATAGTATTAAAGGCTTATATTCAAATGCTACATTTCCTTCTGGCAGGAGAAACCAAAATCCCATTCTTTCAGCCAGGAGTTGCTATGTACCAGTGGGTGCTCTTTGCACCTTTGTCACAAGCATTTAGGCTGGACAAGCCACCAGGACAAGAGCCTCTTTGACAGGAGGCACGGACAGGAGGGAGCCACTCCTGCATCCCCAGAAGCAATGCTTTTGATTTCCTCGGGGAGGTGCGAGCACTACATGGGCACCTGGAGCACCTGGGTAGTCTGGGCTCCTTCTGTCTGCTGAAACTCAGCTGACAAGCTTTGAACTGCACCTTTCAAATAAGGGCTAATGGCACAGAGAGATACAGGGTGCTTCATCAGAGTCTAAATTCAGAGATACGTGGCCAGACTAAGTGGAGTTTTTGCAGGTGATAATATTAATTGCTTCACAAAAAGCTGTTTTGCTTCTTGCTGCAGGAGGATGGTAAATATGCCACTGCAGCTGACAAGGCCACAGGAAAAGGAAGCTTGCTAACAAAAACAAAAATGCCAAAGTCAACATGTAGAGGCAAAGGCTTTTATTCCATCTAGAACTCCATTTTTTTGGCTTATGGGGCATCAGAAGTTGTTCCATCTGCAGGCTTTGCATATCCCAGCGACTCCTGCAATGCTGTACCTCAAGCTCTGCTGAGCAAGAAGGAGAGAGAATGAGTGAGCAACAGAGTCAGGACAACACAATAAACTCCCCCGAGGCTTTCTGGCAAAAGAAGTTGTGAATTCTTAATACAGAGCGTTTGCAGAGGGATGCTGCTCTATGGACAGCATCACCCTATGGAAGGGAGTGCTCTTCCCAGCAAGGGCTGGGAGATCCTCCCCGGAGAGAGCTCCCGGCGTGTCCCTGTCCATCAGGTGGCGGCAGCGCTCCAGGGAACTGCAGGCACAGCTCTGCCTTCAGCCCTTCAGGGAGGGGATTCTTTCATCAGGCTGAGCAAGATTTCTGAGCGCCAGGAGAAGAGGTGCAAATCACACGTCTCCTCAATGAATGCAAAAAGTCAGCTGAGCTCGCTCTGAAACGCATACCACATCTTGGGTTGCTCAAAATGGGAACTCAACTTGTTTCAAAATGCAGTGTCAGTCTCCTCAAATTAGATCAGTTAGTTGACAGAATAGAAAAAAGTAGGCGAGCTTTTGGGTACATCAGCCTCTTATTGAGGCATTTCTTTGGCTCATGTATGGTGGAAATGTCTGGTTTTCCCAACGTTATCAGCTGATCTAATAGAAGACAGGTCTTTAAGTAAGGCTGTATAAAGCACACCTCACACACCTAAGCCATCATAGGTTTTCTGTACAAAAGCATTGCAAGAATACAGATGTAAGCACGAAATTGGCAGGAGGAAGAACCATCCTTTAGTATAAACATGAAAGAACTGAATGAGTCCTTGGTCTTTGTTAAAAGAAGCTGCAGTATCTAATTGAAAAACTCTTAGTCCAAAGTGGCAATTAAAGAAGATCCTATTATTCTCTTTATAGGTAATTCATTAGGCCCATTGGTAAAGCTCTACCCAACATAAACAAAAACCTATTTGAAAAAGTGATGGAACACAGAACCAGCTCTGTTAGAGTTTTGTTCACACTGCTTATTTTCTGAACCAGATCCCATGTCTGACCTGAGGTAAGTAAGTGTCTTGCTTGTCTTTCAGTTAAAACACAGGTACCTTTGGTGAGACTCCTGTCTCATGCAGAGGACGCACTTCCTCAGCTGTGGGGTTAAAACAACGATCAGAACCACAATGCCTCCAATACCAGCTGCCACAACCCCAATGATTGTTCCAATGGATTCTTCTATACCAAACAAGCCTGGGGGAGAAAGGAAGGCAGAGAGAGATGTAAAATGTTTTCCAGACAAGTATATGCAATGTAGCCAGCATGTTTTCTGCAGTGGCTGCAGAGGAAGCTGCTGACTATGATGCTGCTGATGTCTTGTCTGACATGAAGTCCCTTCTACACAGAAGAGTGACTTGCACTACAGAGCTACTGATTGTTTTCATTGCTGTGTAGGAACTCCCAAGCAGCATTCCTAAGCTCCTATGCTATCTGGTGCTTTAGGGACAGGGCAGCCCCATCATCCCAGAAATCTCCCTCAACAGCTAGACACTATGGGGTGGTAAAAGAAGCTGCTGCTTGAGTTAATGGGACTCAGGCCTGTACACTTTATTTTTGAAAGGAAAAAAATTACTCGGACAACTTCAAGAAAACCATTGGTCTGCCTATCTACTTCCAAGGGAGACAGCACCAGAGAGCAGAGACAGCTCCACTGGAGTCCTTTCTTTGCCTGGTTGCTCTTGGGACTGTTGCATGACAGAGATAGCATAGTGCTGAAATTATACATTTCATCATCTCAGGAACACAGGAAGGCAATTATGCTGGCCAGAGTGCAGACATTTCAAGAGTAACCTGTGCTACTGAGACTATGAGATCAAGCCAACAGGAGACCTCATTAGACACACGACCAAAGCCCTTGCAGAGGGGCACAGTTTGCTTGCTTTAGTGTTACAGTTCAAACTGAGTAATGTTATAAAAATTAGTAAATCAGGCTCAAGAGGCCAAAGGCTTAGTGAATCTTGGTGAGAGAGAAGCTTTGGTGATGAAAAAGAGGGAAATGGCACTTGCATAATTTACTCTTGACACAGAAGGAGGCATTTTTTGTTAATTAGATAATAAGATAATAACCCTTCTAATGTGTTGACTTTTTGGGACTGGAATCTGTTTAGCCTACATAAAAGGAAAGTTTGACATTTCCAGCTGCTGCAGACATAGCAAGTTACCTCTTTACTTAATATGCCTGGTGTGTATCTGTGGGGCTAAGAAAACATAGCATGGCACTTCTAATGCTACTTTAATGTGAATGAAGTTAATCAAAAATTATATAACGATCATATTACATATGATCCTCGTGATTATTGTGGGATTACTTATGTCATTCAGAGTTCAGGAATGACTGTGCAAGTTAGTGGGTTGGAGAGAAATAACATCAAAAAAAAGAGGTCTAGAGCTGTTCCTTGAGATGGTACCTTGTCACCTGTCACTCATGGGGGTTCTGTCAGAACTGTGAGTACAAGGGGAACTTGTCTGGCTGCTTCATTCTTTGCAGTGACTTTATTTTTATGGATAACATTACTCCTTTTTGTGTTGTAAATGCTCCTCCTTATAATAATACCTATGATTGTTTATAGAGACAAGCTAGTGAATTTTAGCTGGCCTTACAAAAACAATGAGAAATGTTATAGAGCAATTACACTCCATGACACCAGGCCCTTACTGCCAGAGGACAAACAGGGCAACTTCTCTCTTTCCACCAGTGTGCAGATCAGCTTTGGAAGAAAAAGATGAGAAAAGTAAATAACTCTAAGTATTACCCAGAGCCCTCCTGATCCTGAGCTTTGTGCCATCTCCAGTCACCACCTTCCCGTCCGGAAGTGTAACCTCACAGAAATAAATGCCATGGTCACTGGTTGTCACATTGAGGATAGTCAGGGAAACATCCCCTTGGGACAAGTCTCCACTCATGAAGATCCTGGAATTATTTGGCAGGATGGTCACATTCTTTTCTAGCAGGTCCATCTGCCCCTTTTCATCTTCTTTGTACCATTTCACCATCAGGTCGGTCAGGGAGGGATGCTGTGGACTGTTAAGCTGACAGTTCAAGACCACAGTTTCACCCTCTTTGGCTTTCTCCTTGGCTGGTGTTTGAGTCACCAAAAGGTTCCAAGGCTCAGGTGTCAACCACAAAGGCTGTGCTGTTACATGAATCACAGCTGCTGCATTCTCCCTGTTTGCACGTCCACCAGTAACTCCTACATCTGTACCAGGGAAGAGAGAGAAGAGGACAGCTGAGGGAGATAGGATGATAAATGTCCCTGCTGCTCCTGACCTCTAACCAGCACAAAGAATGGCTCCTGGAATTAGCACGTGAGGGCAGTCACTGTTATGATGATAGGGATTTTCTTCTTAGTTCCTGCTTAGATTATGTTCTTGTGTACAGACAGGTCTTTTCCTGAATATCAGCTCCTTTCTACTGCCATACTAGAGGAAGGAAGATTAATGCCATTGTCTAATGGCTTTGGGTAAAATTCAGAGCCCAGCCAGCCCCATTTCCATCTGCAACACTAACCTCTTTCTTCCCACCCCAAAAAAGTCTCAGGGCCTGATGTTCCTGCCTCAACTGCTTCTGAGGCAAAGCAAAAAAATGCATGTACAGTTATGCACTGGCAGTTCTATGTTGGAAAGTGCGGTGAATAAGTGTGCATCTAATGCAACTGCCTGTATCCCAAAACCTAATGTGGTTCTTAGCATTTTTGTCATGCACTTTGAGTTACAGGACAGGAAATCTTGAAATCATGGGAAGCATCTCCATTACCAGAGACTAAAGCCCCAGCAGATCCCATCACCAGTCTAGGGGACAGAATATCAGCCTTATGCCCATATACTGAAGCTGAGGGTTACAGCTATTCTCTGTGAAAGGACTGTCTCCAGCTAACTTTACTTAGAAAAACATGAACATGCCTGTAGGCAGACATTTCAACCTGCCTTCACATACTCAAGTGCTAATCACAGTATCATATCCTTGAGCTAAGAGTAGTGAGAGGGCTCTCACTTCTGGAAACAGGCCTGGGCACAGAAAATGAGAGGAATAGTTGCTGTCTCAAAAGAAGGGAAAAGCAAACCGAAAAATAAGCTTTTGCCAAGAAAGAGTTTGGACCAATTTTTGGAAAAGGCTCTTCTGTTTTATTTTCTTCAAGTGAAATAGTCTCCCTTTGAGCGAGTTGGTGTCCTCTCAAGGACTGCAGACACTTCCAGAGTGAAGGTCCTGACTTTCCATTGTCTTGAGTTTTTCATTGCCATCCACAGAGTGTGAAATGCTATTGTGGGGGTCTGGTAAAGCATCACAGTGACAACAGACACTCTCTGCTCAGGAACAAATGTCTCAAGGCAATGGAAAACCAAACCCCTTTATGATCAGTTTGAGAGTTACTTGAACAGCTCCTCCAGGCATGCTTGTACACAAAAATCACAGTTGCATTCACAGTTATTATTAGTTATGACTCATATGGGAGTAGAAGATTTCTGTCAGCCAGCATGGTCCTCTTGTTCTGGGAACCTTACAAAAGGTTGGGGTATAGAGCTTACAGTTTAACTATGAAACAAGAGAGAATTAATGGATGCAAAAATACAGGAACTATAAACTGGCTGTGAAACTAGGCAACAACAGAGCATGTGAAATACCTTCTGAGCTGTCTGGCACTCTATGCTTTTACCTCAAAGTGAAAATTTTTGCCTTGGAACTGAAACAGCAACCCATAGAAATTGGATGCCTGAGAATTAGGTACACAAACACAGGTTTTAATCTGGTCCCCTAAAATTAGCAGGTACCAGGCAAGATATTATCCTTCTGTTCAACCTTATCTTACCAATGAGCCCACTGGAGCTTACTGGGGAAATGTGAGGTGTAGATCTTCCCTGTCCAGTTAGATATGTGCATTGAGGTAGCAGTCACAAAAGTTGAAGTATCTTGACAAGATACATTGAGGAAATGCAAAGTATAATTGAAATAACTGACAAAGCTTGACATACTACAGTTTTTGTGCATAAAATATTCTGAAGTGATCTATTTGGTTATTTGAGTGAATTTGAGTAGTTTCATAATGAGTACTCTTATAAAATCTCAGTCTATTAATAATTTTCTCCACTGGATAACTGCTGCTTTAGCTAATGTGTGCTACTGCTACCTTGTTTTCGAGGAATGGCCACAAAATTTCTTCTCTGCTACAAGTATTCCAGTCTTGCCATATGCATCCCTGTAACACAACTGTAATTTTTATTTCTTTTAGTGATGCAAAAGGTATACTTTTTACACAGACAGTGGCATGGAAAATGTAGCTGAGAAGGAACAATGTGCTTTGATGTTGCCTCTGTTCATCATGAGTTTTATACGCCTCTCCTATCATGAAATAATAGTCATGATATAATAATTGTCATCTGTTTTATTTCCAGATCTTTTATTCAATACAAATCACGTAACCTAATTAGGAAAATTAAAAAAGGAGAGGAGTAGGCTGTCTTGTTTCGTCCCAGCTCTCTTTGGGGGTTTCACTGAGAAGGTCACAGCACTGCCTCTATTTTTCCCCCTCTCTTTTCTTTCTTTTTTTTTTTAAGGCTGCAAAACTGGAACATATTAGTTCACTGGTATTCGATTACACAATGCCCTTATCGTTTTGGCATCTGGGAGCATACCATGCCAAATGCTTTGCTGACTCTGCTGCAAAGCTCTTTTAAAGTCAATTGCTTCATTAGCAGAGTGATGTGTAGCTCCCTTGTCATGCGGGCTGTGGGGCTCAAGCCCATGGAGAGGAATGCAAGGCTTTGTGGTGAAAGCACTTGAGCTAGACAGGGTACAGAGAAATACAGCATGGATGATCTTGTCTAGACCTGGACAAACGATTAGATGATCTAATAGGTCATTGTCATATGAAGTCCTTAGTTCACATCCAGTTTCCAGCCATGAGGGGAGAAAGCTCTCAGGGACTCCCTGCAATGCGGCAATGTGCTCTGCATTTGCCAGTACTAATAGGGCACCTACAATGTGCTCTGCATTTGCCAGTACTAATAGGGCACCTGCCGAAGCCCTCAGCTTCCCCTCCATGTAACCTGCAGGTTGATACTTCCCCGTGTAGGGCCTTATCAGACCCTTAAGTGAGAAATACTGCAAGGCAGGCTAGAGGGGCTGGGGTGACAAAAGGAAAGAATAAAACACAGTTGCACTCTCTTCCTGTCCCGGAGCCTCACTTAAGTCTTTGGTGCCTGCAGTAAATCCGAGCAGCCCTGCAAGCTTCTTCTGCCAGCTGCCAACAGCATGGGGAAATCACAAAGGTGTGGGGAGGTCAGTGCAGAATTCTACCTTTCCAGTTTAGCCTCCTCTCCTACATTCACACTCAGTAGCTGGAGGAGGGGTTGAGGGCAAATAGGGCTCAATTTCCAACCCACAAAAAAAATCCTCTGCTGATGAAATTACTGTCTTTCAGATAGTTTTGTTTGCTTTAGATCTCAGCTTCACAGTCATACCATGCTGGTGCCATGAAGGTGCTTTTCAAACTGTATCCAGCTCTCAGACATCTATGATTAAGTGATCAATGACTGCACATTGCTGCTTTTAATTTAAATGATCTTTGCCCTGGGCTGAGGTTGGCTCTCACAAATGGATATGAATATGAACCCTGTGACAATAACTGGTGGCTAATATATCAGAGAAACAAAATAGAAATGAAGCTTCTAGGAATGACGAGGCACATCTGGGAAAAGACAGGCAAATACACTCTTTCTGAACATTTAATACAATTTCCCTGCACCCTGAGGAAGCTCACAGTTGAAAGTTGCATTTTGAAAATAAAGAGAACTTCTCAAGCCAAGCTTCCAAGAACAACCTGTATTTCTTCTAATTAAGGAAGGTGGTTTAGTACTCACCCACCATCAAGAAGAAGATGAATGAAGAGACTGCAGATCTATAGAGTTTCCCAATGTGCTGGTCCATGGTTGCTGAAGTACATGGCCTCACCACCTCTCCCTCTGGTAGTACGGGTAAAAAATATGTGTGTATTATAGCAATAGGACCTCACATTCTGCCCAGTGAATGTCACACTTACTAAAGTTACCACAGCTTTGAGCTCACAGTGCTCTGCCTGCTCCCTGGATGAGAGCCACATTGTAAGTGACAACAATTATTTCCCCAGCGGCTGTTCTGATCTCTCTCTGAGAACATGTTGAAAATGCTCTGAGAGCAGAGGGAAGATAATTCATTGTTTTTCACTTTTGGCTTGTATAAACCACAACTTTGGGCTGAGTAGAGAATATCCAGATACTGCAAAGGAGACCACTCTTGTGCTGAACCCCTCCCTAGTGATGGTGAGAACACAAAGAGCATTGGCTTAATTTTCTGAACAGCCAGACTCTAATGCACCACATTATCACCCTAATGCACCACAAAAGGAAACTTCAGGAACTCAGTATGTTTGTGGCTATATGCACATGGTGTTTACAGGTTAAGTGTATTCCCCAAAGTGTTTTTTTAGTGCAGAACAAAACCTTTTTCATCAAAAGTTGAGTACTTAAACTCTACTTATATTTAAATAGAGTTTATGTCTATGCAACTTGGGTGGAGGGGGAAACTGCTGGAGAGGGCGGCCTATCTGCAAAACCAACGGGTGTGCTCTGAAGTAGTCTGTGTTTATAGAAAGCCCACACAGAGCAGGACCCTGTGAGAGGAGCTACAGCAGCTCCAAGCCCCACCTGTACCACCCAGCCCTGCCAGCTGTGCTATGCCTGTACCAAGCATGGACGACTGTCACTATCTGCCTGACACCTCTTACCTCAGCTGCAGGATTAGGGATTACAGCATACTTTATCTAATGTCTTCTATCCATATCTTCCAAGCTCTCCAGGTAATGGAATTGTGCTTGAGGGTCCAGTAAAGACTCAATTCCATTACTCTTAAAGCACAATGCAGCTGAGAGAAGGATGAGTATTTCCGCTTTTCTTTGCATTTGAAAGCCCTAAGAATCCATATCTGATTCACAAAACTTGGCTGACCAATGTCAAGAAGAACAGCCCATTCCTGGAGTCACCAGTTGTCACTTAAGCTTTGGTGTGCAGATCCCAAAGCAGTGGAAGCAGTGAAAGCAGGATGGGCTAGAGGGAGTATGGTCAAAAGAACGTAGGAGACAAATACTTTTCTGAAATGGCTTGGGAGAATGGGAAGGGCTGTGATTACCAGGCAGGAATCATATTAGGAAGGGAACTGGGACCAAGTGCAGAGCAACAGAGCACTTCAAAAGGAAGATGGAAGTTTGTGAGGGTCTTCCGGAGGAAGTACTGCCAAAGTGTTAGTGAGCAAAGCCAAAATATCATGAAATGAAAAGTCAGAGGAGTCAAAAACAATAAAGAGTTTGATGAGGGAACAACCAGTAGAGTCGAAGGCACCTGGCAGATCATGAGGATTTTGGACTGAGTTACTGGTTTGGAGCGCTGATTGTGACTTTGTGTCAGAGGAGTCAGCGTGCAAAGATGGATCTGAACCAAAGGCAATCCAAACACTGCCTGATTTAAACCAAGTCCTTGGTGTGCTTCAAAAAAACCCTTCAAATGTGTTGTCAGGGACATACCACCAATGCTCCTGCAAATGCTATTTATGTTCATGTCATCCGGAACTAGCAATTCTCTTGTGAATCCTCCATTAAGTAGGTCATGCCTGAGCCAAAGTGCCAGGTCAGCCAGCTTTTAACTGAGGGAATACAAAGGTTGGTTAGTGTTGCTGGCAGCCAGTAGCTGAGCATGAAGTTTCTCTCACTTGAATAACCCAGTATGATTCAGTTTTTGGACAAGAAGAGAAATAAACCGGTACCCTGAGTGTTGTTGAAAAAAGCCCCCAAAATTCAAGTTTCAGGTGCATATCAAGAAAGCAAGGAACAAAAATGAAACAAACCACACATTCTTTTTTACACTCTCTTGTAAATTTAATTAAGCAGTTGCTTGGATTAACGCTGTCCTGTCTGGGCCAACAGATGGAATAGGGAGTCACCCACGGAACTTCAGGTACTTTTTCTAATGTAGCAGTGAGCACCCTGAGATGTCCAAAGGGAGCCTCCACGCATTTCCCGGGGAAGAGGCAGAGAGAAAGGGGACAACAGAAGGAAGTAGCAATGACACAGCAGGCAACTTTACCCATCCATACTTTATCCATCCATCCATCCATCCATCCATCCATCCATCCATCCATCCATCCATCCATCCATCCATCCGCCAACTACCTAGCAATGTGATTTCTCTGCACATCATAGGGGCTCTCCTTTTTCCTGTGAGGTGAGCTGAGGGTGCAAATCTGCGAGCCATGGTCGCTCTGGCTGGGTGCCCTGATTTGAGGAGCCCTCCGGGTGATCAGATTGGGGCAGAAACCACTCGGCGCTGCTCAGCAGCTTCAAAACTGAGACCCAGGGTTTCCCGGGGTGAAAGCCCCCTCACTGACTGCCTTCATGTCACCTCATCCTCCGCTCGGCCCGCAGCCAGCCCTTCCCCTCTCCCCCTAGGAGTCCCCGGGAGCGGCCTCTCGGCAGTGTTTTCCGTGGAATCCCACGAACCCAGGATCTGGGAGCCGTTTCGCTGCCCGGGCGCTGTTTAACCGGCTGCGCTCACGGAGGGCGGAAGGCGCGGGGCTCTCCTCGGGCAGGAGGCAGCGAACGCTGCCCCCCCTCACTCCCCGCAGCCGGGAGTTTTTTCCTACTACAGCCCTTAAACTTTCCACCGGCGCGGAGGCTTTCCAGTTAACCCGTGCGGAAGCCGCAGCGGCGCTGCCGCGGCAGGGCGAGGAGGGCACCGTAGGCGCCTCAGCGCTCTCCGCCCCCCATGACGGCTCCCCCTCCTCGGGAGCAGCGGCGCCTCTCGCCCCTGACAACCTCCTCCCGCCGCGGGCCGGCAGCGCGGCCGGCGCCGGCCCCTTTAAATGGCGGCCGCGGCCCCGCCGTGCGCCCCGCGCAGGCAGCTGGCGGGCGCCGCGCGGCCCTCGCCCCCCTCCATGGTAAGCGCCGCGCTCTGCGCTCCCCGCCCGCCCCTCCGGCGGGCTCCGTGCCCCCGGCCGCCGCCCCGCCGCCCCCCCGGGCCAGCGGAGGGCCGCCCAGGTAGGTGCCGGCAGCGGCAGCCCCGCTCCCTTTCCGGGGCAGCCGCACGGGCGGGCCCCGGACGGGCGGCGGCGGCGCGGCCCCGCGGGCAGCGCTGGGAAGCTCCGCCGTCCCCACCCACCTCCCCAAAGTTTTTGGGGCGAGGCGGGGGCCCGATGAGGGGGGCGGCGAACGCCCCGCGCGTCCCCGCAGGGAAGGTCTGGGCTCCCGGGAGAGCCGGCGGGGAGGCGGCCGCGGGGCTGCCGGGCTGAGCCCCGGCGTTTGGTGGGGAGGAGCGGGCGGGCAGCAACTGGTGGAGGTTGTAGCGAGTGCGGGTGTTGGCGTGGAAAAGCCCCGCGGGGGCCGCTCTGCTCTCAGCCCACGCTGCCCGGAGTGCCTGTGCCTTTGCCTCGCTCCGCTGTCCCCTCCGCAGCCTGTCCCCAGCCCGGGCCGCGGCCCCGGCAGCGCGGGGTGGGGTGGCCCCACACCGTCTCGGTTCTGAGCTGGTTTGGAGTTGAAACCCGGCGTTACCTCAGTCCGGCGGATCCGGTACTACAGGCGGGGTTACTGGTTAGGGCCCTGGGCTGGTTTTGTACCGTTTGCTAGTGGGATGGCACAAGTGACATTCATGGCTGTTTCCCTTCATAAAGTACAACTGACTTCCAAAGTGAAGAATACTGATAACAATGGAGAGTGCTACAGAATTAGAAAACAGTGGTGCTTATTATCTTAATAGTGTTATGAGTCAAATTACTTGTCTCTGAGGTGTTTGTATTTCTGTACAATTTATAGTGTAACTAACAGTAAGTATAAACACTTGATGTATCAGTATTATAATAGTATATGTCAGTACTCTGGTAAACATGCTACACCTGTATGACTTTTCTCAAGTTCTGAAAGGTCTCACAGGTTCCTGAGATGTGCTGCATGTTAGGCACTGATGTCTTGTGTTGATATAATTTGAGTTCTAAATATCTGTGCAGCTTCAACATGCAAGTTGGGTGGGGGGGCTGCACTGGAAATAAAATAGTTTGATAAAAAAATGTGAAATATAATTAAATATAGTGTAGTCTAGGGGGAACAAAATAAAACCAATGAAAAAGCTGTCCGTGGAAGTGTTTCCATGCCACTCACCTTGGTGAAACTACCATGTCAGGTTTCATTTAATATACAGCTGTTAAATGGACTAACCATCTTGTTTCACCTTTCTCCACCACTGCTGGATTACATACCTTACTTCTTTGTTCACAGGAAGTTCATGAAGTGGATCATGGTCTTATTAACCAGCTACTTGCTGATTCAGAGGAGACTCTTAATTCATGCACAGAGAAAATGCAGGGTCCTGCTCAGTATAGCTGGAGTGCTGACTGGAGCTTTTGGGTAATCTCTGCTAACTTGGCTTTAATTTATAAATATAATACCTGTCTGTTTTAATTTGCATATGTGTGTATATGTACAAGTTTTATATCCACAGTTCTCAAGTTGCTTTGTAGTCATGAATTACTAAAGTGTTCTCCACCCATGTAGTGAGGCAGGTAATTTTATCATTACTGGCTTACTGAAGTGTAAGGTGAGACTGAGAGGGGGTGAAGTTGTTTATCTGATGTCTCAGATCAAGTTAGTGACAGATCTTGTGGCTTCTATGCCCAGTCCTGTCTCTCAGGTCCTGAAAAATCCATGCCAGTGTTTCTTATGCCTATAGAAATACATTTTTGATGCTCTGATGCTTTTTAAGCATAAGGACTGAATTTTGATTCTTGGTGGTTGGTGGTTCTGAATTACATTCCTAGTGTTCATTTTTGTCAAGTAAGCATATTTGTTTTCCACAAGGGTAAATAAACTTCCTGTTTTCTGTAAGAATTGACTTTGTGAATAAAAAAGGCAGAAAATAAGTAATTTGGTTTTTTTTCTTTCTGGGG